ATTTGTAGGAGCCTCCGATACTGATACCTCTAGTAGCTGGAAGGCCATTGATAATGTATCTAACGGTTCTTGAGAACAGCATGGGTTGTGTTCTCGGTCAACAAGACAAGACTGGAAGAAAAGAGCATGCAATATACTACTTGAGTAAGAAGTTCACAGACTGTGAATCCGAGTACTCAATGTTGGAGAAAATGTGTTGCGCACTCGCGTGGGCTGCCAAACGTCTGAGACAGTATATGCTGAACCATACAACCATCTTGATTTCGAAGATGGATCCGATTAAATATGTATTTGAAAAACAAGCACTTTCGGGGAGAATTGCCAGATGGCAGATGGTTTTGACAGAGTACAACATTTAATATGTTTCCTAGAAAGCTATCAAGGGGAGTATTCTGTCAGAATATCTTACTGAACAGTCGATTGATGACTATCAACCTATGAAGTTTGAATTTCCCAACGAAGACATCATGTTCTTAAAGATGAAGGACTGCGATGAGCCATTACCCGATGAAGGTCCGGAGAAGGGTTCCCAATGGCAGATGATATTTGATGGCGCTGTTAACTCATATGGTAGTGGAATTGGGGAAATTATCATGACTCCCCATGGTACTCATATCCCATTCACTGCCAGGTTAACATTTCCTTGCACTAATAATAAAGTCGAATACGAAGCGTGCATCATGGGGTTGAAAGAAGCCATTGATCTGAGGATCAAGAATCTAGATGTGTACGGCGATTCAACGCTAGTTGTCAACCAGATAAAGGGAGAATGGGAAACCCGACAGCCTAATATGATACCTTACATGAACTATGCAAGGAGGTTGTTACCTTTCTTCGATCAAGTGGAGTTCCATCACCTGCCTAGAGCGGAGAACCAGATGGCAGACGCTCTGGCGACGTTGTCCTCGATGTACAAAGTGAATTTCTAGAACGATACTCCCAGAATAGTCATCTCTCGCCTTGATAGGCCGACATTCATATTCGCCATTGAGGAAGCTTCAGATGGCAAGCCATGGTATTATGATATCCAGAATTTCCTTAAGAACCAAGAATATCCGCCAGGGGCGTCGACCCGGGATAAGAAGACTCTGAGGAGATTGGCTGGAAATTTTTATCTGAACCAGGATGGAGTACTCTACAATAGGAATTATGACTTGGTGCTTTTAAGGTGCATGGACGAAAAAGAAGCTAGCCTGCTTATGGAGGAGGTCCACGAAGGTGCCTTTGGTACACATGGCGGTGGGCATGCCATGTCTCGAAAGCTGTTGCGAGCAGGGTATTATTGGCTGACTATGGAGTCTGATTGCTTCAAATACACTAAGAAGTGTCATAAATGCCAGATTTATGCAGATAAGATTCATGTGCCATCGAGTCCGTTAAATGTTATGGCATCGCCTTGGCTCTTTTCCATGTGGGGCATTGATATGATTGGCAAGATTGAGCCTACCGCATCTAATGGACATCGCTTCATCCTGGTAGCCATTGATTACTTTACCAAATAGGTGGAAGCAGCTTCGTACGCCAATGTCACTAAGCAAGTGGTAGCCCGGTTCATCAAAAAGGACATCATTTGTCGCTATGGAGTGCCTGAGAGAATCATTACTGATAATGGTTCGAATCTAAATAACAAGATGATGAAGGAATCATGCCAGAATTTCAAAATCAAGCATCATAACTCATCACCCTATCGTCCAAAGGTGAATGGCGTTGTTGAAGCGGCCAATAAGAATATCAAGAAGATAGTGCAGAAGATGGTTGTATCCTATAAGGATTGGCATGAGATGTTGCCCTTCGCTTTGCACAGATATTGTACTACGGTATGCACCTCAACTTGGGAAACTTCTTTCTCGCTGGTATATGGTATGGAAGTTGTCCTACCATTAGAGGTCGAGATTCCTTCTTTGAGAGTCCTGGTTGATGTTAAGCTCGATGAGGCAGAATGGATAAGAAAAAGATTGAATTAGCTCAGCCTAATGGACGAGAAAAGGCTAGCATCTATTGCATATGGTCGGTTGTATCAGAGTCGGATGAAGAAAGCTTTCAACAAGAAGGTGCGCCCTCGAAGCTTTCAGAAGGGCGATCTAGTGCTGAAGAAGATCCTCCCGCCACAAACAGATCACAGGGGCAAATGGACTCCCAACTATGAAGGTCCATATGTCGTGCGAAAGGTCTTCTCTGGAGGAGCCTTGCTATTATCAACCATGGAAGGTGAAGATTTCACATCTCCTGTGAACGCAGACACAGTTAAAAAATACTTTGCTTAAAGAGACCCGTTGGAAAGAAAAAGAATATCCAGGTAAAAATGGGGCATCCCGGTGAACCATAAAAAGAATGGGTTCGGGCAAAAGGAAAAGATGTAAACCCGCAAAGTTGAAAACCTGAAAAGGCAACCTTGGCAAAAATGGGTATCCCAGTGAATTGAAAACCCGAAAGGGCGATTCACGCAAAAGTTAGGGATTAGAAAAGCAAATGATTGCGGCCTACGTATTGAGTTTCAGAGAACAGTAGATTGAGGAAAGACCTGAGGGCTGTTTATCCAAATCAATCTCTTCAAAAGACGAAGCGTCGGGGAATCATCGAAGTCAGGCGAGTCATAGAGGAATCAGCTGATGGTGTTTGCCTGTGCCACATTGCTGACATTTTGTATATTTCTGTGCAGTTCTGCAAATTTTTTTGCGCAGCTTCCTCTTTTCAGGGGTTGCATCTGTTGTAAAATATGCCTATTTACAGGCCTTCTGTTAATAAAGCATATACTATTCAGTAACTTGCTTGCATTGTGTTGCACCCCAAAAATTTGCTCAACCTTTTCTTGCCTGATTTATGTTTCATTGCATTTCATTAGCATTAGTTACATCATGTACATAGTTCAATCATTGGCATATCATAGCATAGCATGCATCCAACAAGGGATCAAGGGTGTCTATCAAGAGAAGAGCCTAGCAAGAGGTCTTATCCAAGTTTGAGAAATCATCCAAGCCATCTGTCATACCCCAAATTTGTCCTACCTCTTTTCAAAATTCTCATTTGCCCGACTTTGTTTTTAATTTACCTTGCTTATACAGCGTAGCGCATTTTTCAGCAAAAACAGGCATTTTCGCTTTTTTAGCCCAATAAGGGTATGCCACGTGGCATTTGTTTTTTTATATATATACCTATTTTTATATGATTTCATTTTTTTCGTGATAGGTTAATATAATGTTTTTATTTTTTTAATTAGTTTTGAATTAGAAATTAGGATTAAAATTTAATTTTTTTAAATAGATTTAATTTAGAGCTTAATTATAATTTAGATTTTTTTTAATTTTTAAAAAAATATATAAAAAATAGAGTTAGAATTTAATTAGGATTTATTTTAAAAATTAGATTAGATTTTAATTAATTAGTTTAGATTTAAATTTATAATTAATAGTTAGAATTAATTAAATAGGAAAATAGGTTTTTAATTTAGTTTATTATTCATAAAAATAAGTTAAAAGAAAATAATAAAAAAAAGAGATGAATTAATTTGTTTAGGGACACGGTGGTTTAGGGTTTAAGGATTTGGGGTTATATAAGTCACTGTTCACCATACCCTAGAATGGAGGGGATACTGTTCACCCTAACCCTAAAGAATAACAGCCGCCCCTAATTCTGAAGGGGCAACCCTAAAAAAAACCATCCCCAATTCATCCCCAAAAAATCCTAATTCATCCCTCTCCCAAATCGGCGCCGCAACCACCCACCCTCTCATCTCCGCCACCGTTCAACCCTCCGTCTTCATCATTATCACTTTTACCCTTCAACCCTCTCCTCCAACCCACCTTCTTCTTCATCCATCTGATTCAAAGCTTCAACAGAAAAACGCTTGTTCAAATACCAGTGTGGTTTGCTCATTCTCCTCCAACTCACGCAATGGTAGCAGCGACTCGACGGTGATTGAAATAAGGGATAACAACAGCGGTCACGATTTAAGACCACAAACAACACTTCAATCATCATAATCAATTTCCCCACGATAATCATAGTGCTCAACAGGGTCGATTTCCTCCTCAACAGGCTTGGAACCCTCAAAATCGACCACCACCCCAACCAATTTCAAAACCCTAACAACCAATTCCAAAACCTTAATCAGTTGAACGAACGAGGTTCTGTTCAAGAACAAGCTCTGCCTCCTTCAATTGTTGACTTGACACGTTTTTGCAGTGAGGGGAAGGTTAAAGAGGCGCTTGAATTGATGAAAAAGGTGTCAAAGCTGATGCCAATTGCTTTGAGCTTCTGTTTGATTTGTGCGGTAAGTCGAAGTCTGTCGAGGATGCTAAGAAAGCCCATGATTACTTTTTGCAATCTACTTTTAGGAGTGATTTCAAGTTGCATAACAAGGTGATTGAGATGTTTGGGAATTGTAAAAGTATGACTGATGCACGAAGAGTGTTTGATCATATGCCCAACAGAAATATGGATTCTTGGCATATGATGATTCGGGTTACAACATTTCCAAGTTTCGATTATGCGAGCTCTTGGTGATTTTCCTTGGTGTTAAGGTTCATGCTTGTGTTGGTGGGACAAGTGTTCGGGAGGATCAGTGCATTCTCCAAGCCGGTGTTCACACTGTTGTTGGTACTCCGGGGCGTGTGTTCGACATGTTGCGAAGGCAGTCCCTTCGCTCTGATTGCATCAAGATGTTTGTTCTGGACGAAGCTGATGAAATGCTTTCACGTGGTTTCAAGGATCAGATCTATGATATCTTCCAGTTGCTACCTGGCAAAATTCAGGTTGGAGTATTCTCTGCAACAATGCCACCTGAAGCTCTTGAGATTACTAGGAAGTTCATGAACAAGCCAGTGAGAATTCTGGTGAAACGTGACGAGCTGACCCTTGAGGGTATCAAGCAGTTTTACGTCAATGTCGATAAGGAAGAATGGAAGCTAGAGACACTATGCGATCTCTACGAGACACTGGCCATCACTTAGAGTGTCATTTTTGTTAACACAAGGCGCAAAGTTGACTGGCTCACTGACAAGATGCGAAGCAGAGATCATACAGTCTCGGCAACTCACGGTGACATGGACCAGAACACTAGGGATATCATCATGCGTGAGTTTCGGTCTGGCTCTTCTCGTGTTCTCATTACCACTGACCTCCTGGCCCGTGGTATTGATGTGCAGCAAGTGTCTTTGGTTATCAACTATGGTCTCCCAACTCAACCTGAAAACTATCTCCACCGCATTGGTCGTAGTGGGCGATTTGGAAGAAAAGGCGTTTCGATAAACTTTGTGACATTGGATGATGCTAGAATGCTGGCTGATATCCAGAAATTTTACAATGTGACTATAGAGGAGCTGCCATCAAATGTTGCTGACTTGCTCCGATGAGCTGCGACCACCGAGCGAGGATCAAAGCTGCATCTCAACCGTGACGCGACGGTCAACTCAATGGTCTGGCTCGTTTTAAGCAACAATGTTTTGCATCTCGCAACTCAAGTAAACCGCACTTGGTCGAGAGATGATGTGCATCACTCTGTTCACGCTCGCGGCAACGCGGATACGTTTCCCAGCAACAGTATTTGAAGATGAAGCCCACTGCCGCTAGATTGAAGAAACCCGACACTGTATCAAAGCTTGTCTTGGAAGAAATAATTGGATTGACAACTAAAAATGGGAATGGGTTAGCTTCAAATTCATCTAGTTCCAAATGTGCTTATTCGGCAGGTTGTGTGGTGGTGATTCTTGATGTGAATTCCGGTACTCAATCGCATCTCATTGCGTCTGATAGATTGCAACCAAAGCCTTTGAGATGTGTTGCTTTGTCACGAGATGGCCGCTTTGTTGCAACTGAAGAGACAGGAAACCAGTCCTCGGTACTAGTTCGGGATTCTTCTACTTTATCTATTGTCTCTGAGTTGAAAGGGCATCTAAATGGAGTTACATGCATCTGTTTCTCACCAAATGGTAAACATCTGGTATCTGTCGGGGTTTATATTTATCTTTGGGACTGGCGGAGTGGTCACCTGATAACTAAGCTTCAAGCAACTTCATCTTCTTCTACTGTCTCAAGTGTTAGCTTCTCATTAGATGCAAAATTTATTGTTACTGCTGGTAGAAAGCACTTGAAATTCTGGACATGCTATATCTTGAAAAGGGAGTATCAAATAGTTGCAGCAATAAGATTGTCTTTTCTTGCATCTGAACGACGCCGTCCAGACCAATTCACGGTAATTGTTAGGAATGTACCACCCGATCCCGATGAATCAGTCAGTGAGCTAGTTGAACATTTCTTTTTGGTCAATCATCCAGATAACTATCTCATTCATCAGGTTGTTTATGATGCAAAGAAACTCTCTAGTCTAGTTGCTCAGAAGAAGAAAAAACAAAATTGGCTTGACTACTATGAGCTAAAACATTCTAGAAACCAATCCATAAGGCCAACTATAAAGACTGGATTTTTAGGTCTTTGCGGTAGTAAAGTGGATGCTATTGATTTTTATAATGCAGCAGTTGAGAGGCTGTCAAGAGACATAGAGTTGGAGAAAGAAAAGGTCATGAAGAATTCTAAATCTATAATGCCAGCGGCTTTTGTTTCCTTCAGAACTCGTTGGAGTGCGGCAGTTTGTGCACAAACTCAACAAACAAGAAATCCGACGACATGGTTGACTGAATGGGCTCCAGAACCCCGTGACGTGTATTGGGATAACATGGCCATACCATATGTTTCACTCACAATAAGGCGGCTTGTAATTGCTGTTGCCTTCTTCTTTCTCACATTCTTTTTCATGATTCTAATTGCATTTGTACAGTCACTTGCTAATATTGAAGGCATTGAAAAAGTAGTACCCTTCCTCAAAGCCTTCATTGAAATAAAAGTCATTAAATCTCTTATACAAGGTCTTCTTCCTGGGATTGCTTTGAAGATATTCCTCATATTTTTGCCTTCGATATTGATGATGATGTCCAAGTTCGAAGGGTTTATAAGCAAGTCTGCTCTAAAAAGAAGAGCAGCCACAAGATATTACATCTTTCAGTTCATTAATGTGTTTCTCGAGAGCATAATTACCGGGACTGCATTCCAACAACTAGATAAATTCCTCCATCAATCTGCAAATGAAATTCCCAAGACAATCGGTGTTTCGATTCCAATGAAAGAAACATTCTTCATAACGTACATAATGGTTGATGGGTGGGCTGGATGTGCTGGTGAGATTTTAAGATTGAAGCCTTTGATATTTTATCACTTAAAGAATTCCTTGTTGGTGAAGACTGAAAAAGACCGAGAAGAAGCAATGGATCCCGGGACTTTTGGTTTCAATACCGGAGAACTTCAAATTCAACTTTATTTCTTGCTTGGCCTTGTGTATGCTGTGGTCACACCATTTCTACTTCCATACATCATCGTGTTCTTTGGTTTGGCATATCTTGTCTACCGTCATCAGATTATTAATGTGTACAACCAAGAGTATGAGAGTGCTGGAGCATTCTGGCCTGATATTCATGGACGTATTGTATTTGCGTTAGTTATCTCGCAGCTTCTGTTAATGGGCTTATTGAGTACAAAAGAAGCTGCTAACTCAACTCCACTGCTCATTGCTCTCCCAGTTTTGACAATATGGTTTCATCGATTTTCGCAAGGATGCGATCTGATTGCAGTTTGTTTGTGTTGAGTTTTCATTTTGATTGCAACCGTACAATGATGGAGTTAAGTTGTAGCTGTTTATGGTTTTGTCCTGCTGTTAGTTGGAAGTGATTTTGTTGCTGCTAGTATTGGTGTAAATCGCACTGTTTAGGCATTGATTTCAGAGTTTTATGTATTTGTTTCCAACTGATTTTGTGTACAACAGGGTACGAGCTTGGATGAGATGCAGTTCAGTTTTGTTAACTGGTTTGAACTTGTTTTGGACTGACTTTGGTCCTGGTTGTGAATTTTTTTTTGAGATGTTACATGAATTGGTTTCAATTGACTGCTGGCTGCACCACAAATACCGGAGCCGTTTTTCTTCTATTTTTCTTTGGTGGATGCAGGTTATAGGTTTGAGATCCAGAAGTTGAATCCAACTCCATTCACCATAACACAACGAGCAACTCAACGGCTCAACTCGCTTCAAGTAACAACGTCGTAGCGGCAATGTAGTAGCAGCTTCACTAATGTCACAATCCAGCAGCAATTGTGATCATTTGTGTTGTGTGTTCAAGCCACTGAGTTTTAGTTCAATAACTCGTCATCCCGGTTGCAACTCGCGATGATGTCAACCATAACTTAACGGTTATGCATTTGTGTCGGTATTGCAACAGCTCAACATCAACACCAATAACGCGGTTCAACCATCCAAAGCTGGAAATAGAAGTAACTCTGGTGCGATCGTAATTTGAATCTCCAGCTGGTTTGATTTGGTATGTGCTTTAGTTGGTTCGGATTCAACAAGTTCAATGTCTCAAAGTCGGCATCGGTAATTTTCAAATAATCCCTTTTGCCTCCTTTATGCTCACTGCTCTGTCGAGACATCGGTCTGGTTTTGTTCATGCTTGTCGCCGGAAGCAAAAGGATAACATCAACATATCCGACAACAACGATGTGTTTTCGGTAACAACTTAAATCAGACTCGGTCCCTGTTTGTTTTTCTTTAAGTTAATATTTTCTTTTCTAATAATCAATTTTTGTTTTTTTTTAATAATAATAATAATTGATGTGGTGTTTGCTTATTATGTTATTTTTTCTATCATAATTATTGTGGCTTGAATTCTGCATCTTGATTGTGGTGTAGTAGATGGTGTGTGTGTGTAGTAATTTTGTGGCCAGATTGTGTTTTACGGCCAAATTGTGTTCATAGAAGTAGATAGGTTGTTCTTTTGGTAGATTTTTTTTTAGTTATTTGGTTTAGCTTAGAATAATTAATGGTTAGGAATAATGGATTATTATTTTAATTAATTAATCTTATACTAATTAGACCATTAAAACAGTTAATTTTGACTTTTCACTAAAGACAAATTTTCCTAATCTTGATTAAATATTAATTATTTTTTTTCATTTTTTTATATCAAAATATTTTTAATTAAATCCACGAAAGTAGTGGGCTCTTGGGGTCTAGCACTGCTTGAGTTCTTGGACAACCGCTCTTGAGGCGCACGCCATGAGTTGTGGTTGTCCCGTCTTTTATTTTTCCAAATTGTTTTTACTCAATTAAAATTTTTAAACAATTTTTGTTAATTAGATATTTTAGTAAGAAATTCAAATTATTCTTTCTTTTAAAAAATATAAATTTCAAAATCATCACCAAATAACATTTTAAATATCAGAAATTATATTTTATTAGCTAAGTTAAAAACCTTTTTAAGATATTAAACTTTTCTCAAAACAATTAATTATAATTAGCTTTTCTTAAAATCTTTTTTATAAACAGTTGATTAATTTATTCTTATATATGAAAATTAAAATTAGTTTTCTTAATTAAATTAGACTATTTTTTCTCAAACAAATTTCAAAACAATTAAATTCTTGGATCTCGCCTTCCTTGAATTTTTTAAGCGACCGCTCTCGAGGTGCACACCTCGAGTTGTGACCCTTTCGACCTTACATTTCTTAAATACCTAGCGCGCCTAGTCCGAGTACGCTAGTTCATTCAAATTATTTTTCTAAATTAAATCACGAAAGAATCGAGTTCTTGGAGTCGCGCATTCCTTGAATTCGAGTATGATCACTATTGAGGCGTACGCCTTGTATGGTGTGCCATTCAAACTTTCGTTCTTAAAATACCTCCTTTAATTATTTGGACAAGTACCCTCACTGTCCAACAAACACTATTTTATAATTAATGGGATGAAAAAGATTGTCGTTGGGATCTAGCATTCCAACGATATCCCGACTAATTGATTACGAGGTCGACGTCTCGTTTATCGAGTAGTCGTCATTCCTCCTAATTTCCAACTCATCTAACCTCGTTCCTCGCCTTCGTGTGATCGAGTCTAAACCCTCGTATGCTTCTAAACCATACGTCAAATCCAAACTATTTTCTTAATTAAACTACGAAAGGATTGAGTTCTTGGAGTCTCGCACTCCTTGAATTCTTGAGTAATCACTCTTGGGGCGTACGCTTTAGGTTGTGGATTACCCAACCTTTCGTCTATAAAACACGTGCCCTAACTATTTGGACAAATATCGTCATTGTCCATTCGAATACACTTTCATAATTAATTGAATGAAAAAGGTATCATTGGGATCTAGCATTCCAACGATATCCCGATTAATCGATTGCGAGACTGGCGTCTCGTTTATCGAGTAGTCGTCATTCTCCCTTAAGATATTCAACCCAATTCTCTTTTCTCGCCCCCGCGCGATTGAATCTTTCTCAAACACATTTCGTAGAATCTTTCGAATGAAAAAGGTG